AGTTGAGTCAGAGTCTTACTCTGTCACCCAGGGTGGAATGCAGTGGCGTGCTCATGGCCACTGCAGTCTCGACCTGCTGGGCTCTGACGATCCTTCTACCTCAGCCTTCCAAGTAGCCAGAACTACAGGGGCATACTACTATGCCCAACTAATTTTTAAAATTTACTTATTGTAGAGATGAGGTCTCTCCAACTTGCCTGGGCTGTTCTTGAACCCACAGTTTCAGGTAATCCACTCGCCTCAGCCTCCCAAATTGCTGGGATTACAGGCTGAGCCACTGAATAATTTTTTGATTTACTGTAGAGACAAGCTCTCACCAAGTTGCCCATGCTGGTTTCAAACCCCTGGACTCAGGCAATCCTTTCACCTCAGCCTCCCAAAGTACTGGGATTACATGTGTGAACCACTGCGCCTGACTTACCAAGCTTTTTTTTGAACAGAAGTTTAGCATTAGACCTGTGCAATTCTTCTACCGTGGTGCATTCCTTGGTTGTGCCGAGTAGTATCCGTCCTATGGACAGTCCACAGTGTGAGCATCTGTTCTCTTAATCATGAACATTTGGGTTCTTTCCAGTTTTTGTTTTTATGTTTTGACATTCATATGCAAGTCTTTGGGTGGACTTAGGCTTTCATTTCTCCTGGAGAATATCTGTGAGTGGAACTGCTGGGTCAGAGGGCAGATGCATGTTTAATTTCATAAGAAACTGCCAAACTTTTTAATGCAGTGATTATATTATTTTGTATTCCTAATGGCAAAGTGTGAGAGTATCTGCTCCACCCTGCCAGCATTGGGGTTGCCAGGCTTTTTAATCCTAGCTGTTCTAGTGAGTACCTGCACACTCTTTGACGTAAATCAAAGCAAATTTAATTTTAGAATTTTGTGACTTGTCTTGAGATAATTGAAAATGCCCTGTAATGTGGTGCATGTCTTGAGATGCTTTTCAAATCTGAAGAGGGATGAATGCTGGTCAGGATAGTGTGTCTAAGATCCAGGATACCCTCGCCCGCTAACCTATGGCTAGAGCTTATGAGGGAAGGTTATTGTTAATTCTTTATTCATTTTAGCACCATGTAATTTCCCAAAATTTTTTAATGCATTTGTTCTTGACAGCAAATGTGGTTATCATTTTGTAGATAAAGGAATGAAGACTCAAGGGAGCATGCATAAGATTTGCCTGAGGTTTCAGGGACTGAAACTTAGAACTCCTGACCTAGTTCAGCACTCTTCCACTAGCACCCCAGAATGATTAATGTACTCAAATTTATTGTGTGGATGTCTTTGGTTTTCAAGTTTAGATAAACTGGTAGATATAAGAAGCTTAGATCTTGAAGGCAGTAGGTGGTAGGAACATCTCAGTATTAGTTATATTCCACAGAGGATAAGACAACCTTGAAATATTCACTGGTGATTAATTTGTTCTTTTCATGTGGCTTCTAAGGGATTCTTGAAGTTGTTTTAGTTCTTATGGTAGATCAGCTGATATGGTTATTAAGATTGCCTTTCTGAGAACAAATACATTATTGGGTGTCCTAGATTTATATTTTGGAACTCTGTTTATGATTTTCAGAGTACTTTCAGCTTGTCTGTGCTTCCTAGAAATACTCTCTTAGAACTCTTTTTTTTTTTTTTTGAGATGGAGTCTCACTCTGTCACCCAGACTGGAGTGCAGTGGCTGCTCCCAGCCACTGCAGCCTCGACCTGCTGGGCTCTGGCGATCCTTCCACCTCAGCCTTCCAAGTAGCTGGAACTACAGGTGCACGCTACCACACCCGGCTAGTTTTTGGTTTATTGTAGAATTGAGGTCTTGCCAAGTTGCCCAGGTGGGTCTCGAACCCACAGGCTCAGGCAATCCACTTACCTAAGCCTCCCAAGGCATGGGATTACAGGCTGAGCCACCGAGCCTGGCTTCTCTTAGTACTCTTAGGTGGTTTTAGCAGTGAATATCTGTCATCACCTGCACCGGTGTGACCAGGGGGATAACCAGCAGGTAATCAGAACTGAATGGAGGGGATGAGACTCCACTCAAGTGAGCAACCTGTATGGCTTTCCAAAGCACATTGCAGTTAAAATTTTTCAACAATAAATAAATCTGCCTTTGCAACATTGCCAGATATTAACGTAAGTCATGTGTTTGTTTTATTCTAGTGATGTCCTCGCGTTACCCATTTTTAAGCAAGAAGAGTCAAGTTTACCTCCAGATAATGAGAATAAAATCCTGCCTTTTCAATATGTGCTTTGTGCTGCCACCTCTCCTGCAGTGAAGCTCCATGATGAAACCCTGACATACCTCAATCAAGGTTAGAGGCTTTCTCTTTCATTAGTATCATTGCAGACCTGCCAGAGTCATCTTTTATCAGGTACATTTATTTCTATGTAAAAAGTTAGATCTGTCTAGTGTGACCTGTTAATCAAACTAGAAGCCTTACTTCAGAGCTGTGAGTTCTGATGTCGTATGTGATATAGATGACTGACTCCTGTCCATTGTTAGTTCCCACCTCCCTCTTTCTGATTTATCCATGCTTCTTGGTCATTCCCACTGGTTATTGTTTGAGAAGTTTTACCCTACCTCGCTCTACTATTTACCAATTATGTGACCTTGGACAAGTTGCTTAAGTTCTCTAAATTAATGTTCTTATCTGTAAAAATGGGGTTAATAATACTTTAGAGTTTTATCAGTTAAATGAGATAGTGTATGAAAATACCTAGCATAGTATCTAGTATCTAGTAAAGGTTTATAATTGTTGATACTAATACTAGTCATATTATTATACTCTTGTGTATTCAACCAACTGAATTTCATTCTTTCTGAATCTAGCAAAGTTAACTTATGACTAATGTAATATGTAATTACTTTTTCTTCTAGGACAGTCTTATGAAATTCGAATGCTAGACAATAGGAAACTTGGAGAACTTCCAGAAATTAATGGCAAATTGGTGAAGGTAAAAGAAATGAGTACCTCTGTACAATATTTTTTTCCTGATCCTTTTTGGAGTTTTTGTTTTGTTTGTACCAATATTCTTTTGGTTCCCTAAAAGGTTGGATGGTATCTCTTACCTGCCACAACTTGTTGGCAGAAGTAAACTGATATATTATTTCTTGGGGGTCAGAATAAGCCCCCCTACTGACATGAATTTTCTAGAGCTGCAGAAAAAGAAGGCTTACCACTCCACATTCAGGGAATCCCCAGCCTCAATGAAGTTTTTTTGGGTAGAGTAAACTAACATCCCTGAGATCTTTAGAGAATATTCAGTATAGGAAAACGGAAACCACTGTTGATGAACAGCTCTTAGTCTAGCCCTACAGTAAGGATTCTGAGAATTCACAGCAGAGTTGGGAGAGAGGTGTTCAGTCAACAACAGTAAAAGGTGATATGAGGGACTAACAGGCACTTCTACAAAGTAAGAGTAACAAAAGAAAGTTGATGGAAGCAAGTGTTACCTATCCCAGTGTTTACAGATTGTGTGGTGGGTTAGTAAGCAGGGGACTTGGTGAATTTTTCATATGTGTCTGGAGACTTGGTATAATAAGAGAGGCACATAGAAATGCTTCAGATAGGAATCCTCTATGCTTAGTTACCATTAGGACTGATGTTTAAGCCAAGTTTTTTTTTTTTTTCTTTCTTTTGAGTCAGAGTCTCACTCTGTTGTCCAGGCTGGAGTGCAGTGGCACACTCACAGCCACCACAGCCTTGACCTACTGGGCTTAGGCCATCCTTCTGCTTCAGCCTTCCAAGTAGCTGGAACCACCACAGGTGCGCACCACCATACCCAACTAATTTTTTTTATTTATCATAGAGACGAGGTCTCGTCAAGTTGTCTGGGCTAGTCTCAAACCCCTGGGCTCGGGCAGTCTTCTCTCCTCTGCCTCCCGAAGTGCTGGGATTAGCCACCGTACTTGGTTAAGCCAAGTTTTAAACAGGGCACCAGGTAACTCTAAAGATTATATCTGAGAAATTAATAATTTTTATCCTAAATAGCACTTGGTTCAGTATGGATTTTAGAGTATAACAGGTCTTAAGAAAAATGATTACAGACTTTGTCTAGGAACCAAGTAGCAGAGACTCCTGCTAGTTTCCCTTTGTCAGCACTGGTTTTCAAGAGGCCCTGCTACCATCTGGTTGTTTTGTATCCTTTTAGAGTATATTCCGTGTCGTATTCCATGACAGAAGGCTACAGTACACCGAACATCAGCAGCTGGAGGGCTGGAGGTGGAACCGACCTGGAGACAGAATTCTTGACATAGGTGAGTTGAAAGAATCTTGTGCCTAGGAAATGCCTCTAACTGTGAACTGAGAGTTGATTTTCTTTTTATTTATTTGTTTATTTATTTTTGAGCTGGATCCTCACTCCTTTGCCCAGATTGAAGTGCAGTGGCACACTCACAGCCATCACAGCCTTGACCTGATGGGTTCAGGTGATCCTTCTGCCTCAGCCTTCCAGGTAGCTGGAACTATAGGCATGAGCCACCATGCCTGGCTAATTTTTGTGATTTATTGTAGAGATGAGGTCTCGACAAGTTGCCTGGGCTGGTCTCAAACCCGCAGGCTCAGGCAATCCACTTGCCTCGGATTCCCAAGTGCTGGGATTACAGGCTTGAGCGATTGCTCCCAGCCTGATTTTCTTTACTTGACATTTATCGTTTTGCATATGTTTCAGAGGCTCAATTAGTATGAGCTTTGAAGTGGTTATTTACTAGGCATAAAAAATTCAGTAATGCAAGTTATGATGTCAGCAAAATTAAGTTTGGAAGTATAAACACTTTAGTTCCTTACCAATTGTATCTATTACTTAAGGATGATTTTGATATTTTTGAGTTATAAAATATGTATAATATAAAAATTGCCATTTTAACTGTTTTTAAGTGTATAGTTTAGTACTTTTTTTTTTTTTGAGTTGGAGTCTCACTCTTGTCACCCAGACTGGAGTGCAGTAGCATACTACTGGCCACCGCAGCCTCAACCTGCTGGGCTCCAGCGATCCTTCTGCCTCAGCCTTCCAGGTAGCTGGAACTACAGGTGCATGCTACCACACCCAGCTAATTTTTTGATTTATTGTAGAGATGAGGTCTCACCAAGTTGCCCAGGTGGGTCTCAAACCCATGGGCTCAGGCAATCCACTCATCTCAGCCTCCCAAGGCGTGGGATTACAGGCTGAGCCACGGAGCCCGGCTTTAGTTCCGTACTATTAAGTACATTCACATTGTTGTGCAACCATCACCCTCATCCATCTCCAGAACTTTTTTTTTTCTTTTTTTGAGTTGGAGTCTCACTCTCACCCAGGCTGGAGTGTAGTGGCATGCTCATAGCCACTGCAGCCTCAACCTGCTGGACTCAGGCAATCCTTCCACTTCAGCCTTCCAAGTAGCTGGAACCACAGGCATGTGCCACCATGCATGGCTAATTTTTTTGGATTTATTATAGAGATGAAGTCTCGCCATGTTGCTCAGATTGATCTTGAACCTCTGAGCTCTGGCAATCTCCCCTCCACTCCACCTCCCAAAGTGCTGAGATTGCAGGTGTGAGCCACTGTGCCCAGCTAGAGTTTTTTTCATCTTTCAAAACCGAAACTCTGTATCTGTTAAATAACAACTCCCTGCTCCCCCTCCCCCCAACCCTTGATAGCCACTGTTCTCCTTTCTGTCTCTATGAATTGGACTACTCTAGGTCCCTCTTATAAATGGAATCACATAGTATTGGTCCTTTTGTGACTGATTTTTTTCACTTAGCATAATGTTGTCAAGGTTCAATCATGTTGAACATATATCAGAATTTCCTTCCCATGTAAGAGATTGATTAAAGGCCAGGTGCAGTGGCTTTTAATTTTTATTTCCCTGATTATCTCAGCTTTTTGGGAGGCAGAGGTGAGAGGATTAACTGAGCCCAGGGGTTCGAGACCAGCCTGAACAACTTTGCTAGACCTTGTCTCTATGATAAATAAAAAAATAAGCTGAGCATGTTGGTGGAACCTGTGCTTGCAGCTACTTGGAAGGCTGAGGCAGAAGGAGCACTTGAGCCCAGCAGGTTGAGGCTGTGGTGGCCATGAGCATGCCACTGCACTCCAGCCTGGGTGGCAGAGTGACACTCTGACTTAAAAAAAACAAAAAAACTGAATAACATTGTGCTGTATGTATATGCCACATTTTGTCGGTTCATCCATCCCGTGATAGACACTTGGGTTGATTGCACCATTGGCTTTTGTGAATGAGGCTGCTGTAAACATGGAAGTACAAATATTTGTTTGGATCCTGTGGTAATTCTTAGTTTTGTTAGGAGACACTGTGTTGTTTTTCCACAGTGACTACACATTTTACATTTCTACCAGCAGTGCTCAAGACTGTAATTTCTCCACATCCTTTGCCCACACATATTACTTTCTGTATTTTTGATAAGAGCCTTTTTTTTTTTTTGAGTTGGAGTCTCACTCTGTCACCCAGACTAGAGTGCAGTGGCCGCTCCCGGCCACCGCAGCCTCAACCTGCTGGGCTCCGGCGATCCTTCCACCTCAGCCTTCCAAGTAGCTGGAACTACAGGCACGCGCTACCACCCCTGGCTAATTTTTTATTTATTGTAGAGATGAGGTCTCGCCAAGTTGCCCAGGTGGGTCTCAAACCCGCGGGCTCAGGCAGTCCACTCATCTCAGCCTCCCAAAGGCATGGGATTACAGGCTGAGCCACTGAGCCCGGCTGATACAAGCCATTTTAATGGATGTGAAGTGATATCTCATTGTGGTTTTGATTTTCATTTCCCTGATGATTAGTGATGTTGAGCAGCTTTTCATGTTCTTACTGGCCATTTGGATGTTTTTTGTTTTGGTTGTTCTGGAGAAATGTATGTTCAAATCTTTGCTGATATTTGAATTGAGTTATTTGTTTTTTGTTGTTGTTGAGTTGTAGAGGAATTCTCTATATATTTTTGATACTAACTTCATATCAGTTATAGCAAATACAGATATTTCTCCTAATCTGTTTGTTGTTCTTTCACTATGTTGATAATATCCTTTGATACACACATTTTAAAACTTTGAGGTGGGCCTGGGCTCAGTGGCTCATCCTGTAATCCCAGCACTTTGGGTTCAAGACCCACCTGGGGAACTTGGCGAGACCTTGTTCTTCTGACATACTTTTAATCCTGGCATCAGTATCCTTGATTTCTGATTAGTTAATATCGCCTACTGGTAAACATAGTTGTTAAAAAAAATTTAAGTACTACTAATTTTGCCTGAGAAAACATTGGTTCTTCTGTAGTTATTCTGATAACTGTACAAGTCTGATAATCATATGATAAATTGACCTTAAGGTGAATCTAATACAACTAAATGCCATGGAATACATTGAGCCTCACTTGATGCTTTCCTGTTTGAATCATTGATACCAAAGCAGTAGTATAGTTATAACACAGTTATAGTAACAAATAGTATCACCTAGCCTTATAATAATAATAGTATCACCTAGCCTTGTGATAATACATAGTATCCTCTATAGTAGCAAATAGTATCACCTAACCTTGTAATAATACATAGTATCATCTATAGTAACAAATAGTATCACATAGCCTTAACTCCCAGTTTGAATATTTTGTTGTTTTTGAGAGTCAGGGTCTCACTCTGTCACCCAGGCTGGAGTGCAGTGGCACAGTCACAGCTTACCATAGCCTGGACTTTCTGGGCTCAGGTGATCCTTCCTCCTTAGCCTCTCAAGTAGTTGCGATTATAGGCACCTGATATCACACCCAGATAATTATTTTTTTTTTTAACTTTTTTTTTTGTAGAGATGAGTTCTTGCTATGTTGCCTTGACTGGGCTCAACCTCCTGGGCCTAAGCCTCCCAAAGTGCTGGGACTATAGGCACGAGCCACTGCCCCCGGCTCCCCAGTGTGAATATTAATAGGAGAAGTCAGGGATTGCTATTTGAGTATCTACAGTGTGGAATGGAAAGCACAGTTATACCAAAACCCGCTAGTGTTTGCTTCCCTCTTGCAAAAAGATTTGTCTGTTACAGGATCATTTTATGACTTGGTAACTCAGCGTTAATCTTTGTGTTAAATTTTTCCCACTTCTATCTGTGATATAATGCTTTCTCCATTTATGCAGACACTGCTTCATCCTCTACTACAGTCCTCTTGATGTACTCTAACAGTACACTCATCTTAAGACTTCAGTTGAAACAGATTTGTTTTGTTTTGTTTTGTTTTGAGTTGGAGTCTTACTCTGTCTCCCAGACTGGAGTGCAGTGGCCGCTCCCGGCCACTGAAGCCTCGCCTGCTCGGCTCCGGCGATCCTTCCGCCTCAGCCTTCCAAGTAGCCGGAATTACAGGCATACGCTACCATGCCCAGCTGATTTTTTTGATTTATTGTAGAGATGAGGTCTCGCCTGCCCAGGCGGGTCCCGAACCCGCGGGCTCAGGCAATCCACTCACCTCAGCCTCCCAAAGGCGCGGGATTACAGGCTGAACCACTGAGCCCGGCTGGAAACTGCCTTTAAATTACCATATTTTAAGCAAGCAGGAGGATATTGAACATTCCCAACACAAATAAAAGATAAATGTTTGAGATGATGAATATGCTAATTGCCCTCATCTGATCACTGTACATCATATGTATCAATATCACTGTAGCTGGTTGTGGTGGCTCACACCTGTAATCCCAGCACTTTGGGAGGTGGAGGCGAGAAGATTGCCTGAGCTCAGAAGTTCTAGATAAGCATGGGCAACATGGTGAGACCTCGTCTCTACAATAAGTAAAAAAGTAGCTGGGCATGGTGGTGCATGCCTGTAGTTCCAGCTACTTGGAAGGCTGAGGTGGAAGGATCGCCTGAGCCCAGCAGGTTGAGGCTATGGTGACTTTGAGCATGCCACTGCACTCCAGCCTGGGTGATGGATTGAGACTCTGACTCCCCCCCGCAAGAAAAATCACTATACCTCATGAATATGTACAATGATTATTTGTCAATTAAAAAAATTTTAAAAAGATGTGAGAGGATACCTGAGCCCACAGGTTCGAGAACAGTCCGGGCAACTTGGCAAGACCTCATCTCTACAATAAATCAAAAAATTAGCCGGGCCTCATGGCACATGTCTGTAGTTCCAACTACTTGGAAGGGTGAGGTGGAAGAATTGCCTAAGCCCAGCAGGTTGAGGCTGTGGTGGTTATGAGCTTGCCACTACCCTCCAACCTGGGCGACAGAATGAGCCTTCAACTTAAATAAATAAATAAATAAATAAATAAATAAATAAATAAATAAATAAATAATTTTTTTTTTTTGAGTTGGAGTCTCACTGTCACCCAAACTGAAGTGCAGTGGCCACTCCCGGCCACCGCAGCCTCGACCTGCTGGGCTCTGGCGATCCTTCCGCCTCAGCCTTCCAAGTAGCTGGAACTATAGACGCACGCTACCATGCCCAGCTAGTTTTTTTGATTTATTGTAGAGATGAGGTCTCGCCTGCCCAGGTGGGTCTCGAACCTTCGGGCTCAGGCAATCCACTCACCTCAGCCTCCCAAAGGTGTGGGATTATAGGCCGAGCCACCGAGTCTGGCTTAAATAAATTTTTTTTAAAAAGGTTAATTGCCTTAGTTTTTATTTTTTTGAGTTGGAGTCTTACTCTGTTGCCCAGGCTGGAGGGCAGTGGCACACACATGTACACCACAGCCTTGACCTGCTGGGCTCAAGTGATCCTTCCACCTCAGTCTTCCAAGTATCTGGAACTACAGGCACGTGCCACCATGCCCGGCTAATATTTTGATTTATTGTAGAGATGAAGTCTCATCAAGTTGCTCAGGCTGGTGTCAAGCCTGTGAGCTCAGGCAGTCCTCTCACCTTACCCTCCCAAATTGCTAGGATTATAGGCATGAGCCACCACGCTCAGCTAAATTACCTTATTCATAAACCCTTTTTTTTTTTTTTTTTTTGAGTTGGAGTCTCACTCTG